ATTTATATAAATGCCATCAAGAAAAGCATTGGTACGGGTAGGAAAATTGACAATGTTCTCTAGGCCTAGAGTGATTAGAAAGGAAGTATCAAAGCGATTAAAGTCACCAGCGGTAATACTTAAGGACTGATCAATACAACTGGCGAATTGCGTCACTACAGTATCAGAAAATAGTCTTAATTCGGGGGCGAGTGTATCAGGGACAGTATAAATATTCACAAAATAAAGGAAGCGAAATCTGCTGAGAAAGCGGGGCTTGCAGCAAACAAAAGTACAGTTAATTTTAGTTGTTGAGTTGGAAAAAATCATACGACATCAACTTCGATTTACGAAAGTGACCACTCCGCCACCTCGGTTACGAAATTTCACAATTCGATCACTCCTGAAAATATCTAAGCCGTCTAATCCGACCACATCATCCTCAATATCTGGTTGTAACCAGCTTTCGTGAAGTAAAATGACTCCCACACGTTTGCATTGTTTCTGTTGCGCTAGATTCTGGACCTCATCGATTTTTCCCACAAGTGAGCGAATTTTACTCGAACAAATGAACGGAATGGTCATCCTGTTGATAGAACTTTGCCGGAGAGGAACCTGCCAGCCAGCGCGATGCTTTTTATGGTGACCTCGACGTTTATTTCTCAACCATTTGTAACGATTCTTCACGGAATGAGAAAAAGCTGAGGTTTCAACGTCATTCGCGAAAACAGAAATATTCCATAAAATGGAAGTTGTAGGTCAGCATTTGACCTTGAAAAATTGGTGAATTGATGTGAACGTGTGCGATCAATAGTATCCCCTGCAAAAAAGTAAATAGTTGTCCAATGTCGAAAAGCACGACCGAAATTCAAAGACCGCGTTCATCATGAAAGTAGAATCGAAGAGAAAATGGAGAATTTCAGTGGACTAATGTTGCAAAGAAATTGAGATGCACGAACGACACTCACCCATATCACTCAATGTCTCTAACCACTGGTTACGATCATCCCGAGTTCCGTATCCAGGGCGCTTAACCGGACCTACGTAACCGACTCTCCTGGCTAGGTTTCTCATACCCCCTAGCCAGGTCTTAGCTAGATCACCCACTGCCTGCCTCGACGAACATCGCTCGCCGTGGCAACCCATCTGATGACATGCATAACTTATGCCCCAAACAACGTAGTCTATAGAGGCTTACCACTTGCTCCCGTGGTTACTCAAAACTACTCCTAAACTCAGCATTGCTCTTCTGGTTTCCCTCCCAGATCCATACAATGCTGCGAAGTTATCGGTGTTCAGACACCGGCAGTCTATCATATCTATCTTATCATGTGGCCAGGTTTCTGCGCCGTGTAGCAGAACTGCCGCAGCGTACACAGCCGGATGTCGCGTCGGCGCCACAGATATCAAAAGTTGGCAAATGCCAATCGAACTTTCTGTATGCCAGCTGACACTTCATCCGTGCTGCGCCCACCGGGTGAGATGCAGCTGCCCAAATGTTTTCCACATCCTTTTGCAGGTTTGCATTTTTCTGTATCTTTTTTCGAGAGGGATAGATAATTGGAACACAGAATAGCATATAATCTGGATTTGACCATTTTAGTTTTCATTTAAAACCATTCGTTCCGTATGAATAACTTCACGTGTGTGGCTAACGATGTTGATGATAATGGCTATTTCCTGCTCCCCCTCCCTCCTCCGTTCATTTTTTTCTGTCCTCCGTTTTCGTTCAGCGTGTCGATATTTACAGTTTGGGTATCATTCTGTTTGAGATGTTCTATCAGGCAATGCCAACCGTTGCGCAACGTGTGGCTGTTCTGACTGATCTACGAAAGGAACAGGTGATTTTTCCGGCTGACTGGCAGTTGAAAAAATTAGCCAACCAGACTCGGCTCATTCGTTCCATGCTTCAGCATGACCCTAATCGACGCCCCAGTGCCTCGGTATGTTCGGTAGTCTTTTTCTGTTTCCGTTATGAATATGAAAATTTATGTCGCTGCCCAACTCGCATTGCATACAAGGTTAGTGTTAAATTTTAAGGTGTACAGATACTGGGCCTACTTTGAGGGAGGGAGAAGAAGGTTAACTCGTTTGGTCAACACAGAGTGCAGAATCGAACTCTGTACACATACCGTTTCAAGCATTATAGCCTGATAAGAAATGACAACAGGAACACAACTGCTGTCGGTTCGCTGCCATATCCTTTAATGTCTTCAACCAACCAGTTGCTGAGTCTTTCGGACCCCGACTGGGAACGCGCGTGACACTTACTCTATCTAAGGGTTATGTGCATTTCTTCATGCCTCGTTTCCACGTCATCTGTTGGCCTCCACGTGGTTTCCTCCGACCCGGAGCGGCTACAGCGAATAAGGCGCGATGTGGTAGACGGCAACTGGACAATACGCAATACGTGGCCTAGCTAGCGAAGCCTGTTAATCTGAATTCGATGAGCTAGTGGGTCTGTTCCTGATAAAAGCATAAACACGCAAAGGCTTACTTTCAGCTTACCAATACGTTCACTCCATCCCACGTAGGCTAAACTACGTCAACACCGATACTCGAAAACTTCCAGTCGACGGATATCTCCTACTCGCAAGGTTTCGCAACCATAACGCAAGACGGAATGAACGCTAGCACAATATACACGGCCTCCAGTTTTTCTTCTACGACGGGATTGGACGGGAACTGTGAGGGAGGGCACTCTTGACGAACTTCGCTGCTGGTGACGAATGGCCTATTTAGTTCATCATAAACCCTTATACGACCAGGGGTATATGAGTGCAGTGACCTCAGTAGGTTAATGTACTTCTGGGGTATTCCTTTTCGAAGAATGGAACTCATCAGAGCTTCGCGGTCAACGGAGTTGAACGCCCCTTTCAGGTCAAGGAACACTTCGATCGTTGGTCGGTGGTGGGTGTGATGCAGCTCAATTATCTGCCGCAACGTAAAAATTTTACCAATACATCCACGGCCAGGCCGGAACTTGGCTTGCTGTTCACGGATGTTGGTCTCTCCTAAAGGCGTCAGACGTTAAGGCATAACCAAAGGTGACGATCGGGATCAAACTGCTTCCGCGGTTGTTTTCACAATCCTTGCGACATCCTTTCTTGGAAATGGGAACGATCAGGAATTCGCCCCAAGATGGAGGAATGCGTTCTTGTGCCCAAATATTGCGCAGTACGATAGTAATAGAGGTTACGAGGTTATCATCCATCTTGTAGAGAGTGGGAGGGAACTCATCCGATCCTGCTGCCTTTCCTCGCTTCAGAGCTTGAATGCAGGGCCGCACTTCTGCTTCTGTTGGAGAATCGCTCCACACTGCCCACGGAGCTTCAGTTACAGATGAATTGACCTGTGTAGTGGTAGGCCAGTTGAACTGTTCGCTGAAGTATTCCGCCAAGCGTTCAAGTCGTTGATCCCTATTGTGAATAGTTTGTCCATTCTTATCATTGACTGTTGCATTACCTGGGTTTCACCGACCTCTCGTATTGCGTATCAATCGGAACAGTCTTTGACTATTTCCTGGTGCGGCTTCTACTTTCATTTCACTAGCTATTGTTGTCCACCAGTTTTCACGGTCTTTCTTGAGGCTCTTTCAGCCGGCGTTGCAGACGCCATCCAACCCTGTTTCGATCCTGGCAGGTCGGGATTTGTCGTTTTTGATCCGTCAGTGCTACAGACTCATTAGAAATCCGATGCCTTCGTCGGACTTGAGGCTCAGTCTGACTAGAAACATTCGCCCAATCTGATCCCACTGCTCATTTACATCATAACTTTTAGGCGCGCTTAGCTCACGCACTAGCTCTGACTCAGCGTGCACGAACGGCTGGAACAGATAGTCGATAGTGAGCTATCCGAATTTGCTGATTTTGTCGTCCACCAGTCGACCGAAGAGTGAACTGTATCAAAACAAATGTGTGTTCAGACTCAACGAAGGTGGTCCAATAGTGTCATAAGTCGGTTCTTTTCAGGAAATGCTCTCGATGTATTTTCTCTAGTCCACTGAACACGAATCACATTTGGGAAGGGAATCACAGGCGTTTATATTTAACCCTGAACCAATGAGAATGTTCGACGGGCAAAATTAAAATCTTTTACGGACCAATCATAAAAACACAATTGATGCAGTAAGACACGATCAATTCGAACAACACTTCAACACAAATAAGACCTGGAAATTTGCACTGAGCCACGCCAACGGTGGCCTACTGCTATGTTGTCGATTTGGGTTAACGTACCAGTTGAACTGCAGCCTCACGTTGCCGTCCGTCGAGATCTGTGTCGGAAGCTGGTGCTAGATAGGAACAGATGATGGTCTACGCAGAACTGAAGAAGTCAATCGCCGTAATCTGTTCGTTGGTTGGGCAGAGCACAACTACCGCCCAGGCAAGCCTCTGATGCGCTCAGTTTTCCGACCTGCGCGTCGACGTCACCCGCAAGTACAACTATTTCGGAGCTTCGACTCATCCGAATGAGATCTGTGAGTTCATCGTAGAAAGCGTCCTTTTGGGTATCAGAACCGCAATTAGTCGGCGCATACGCTGATATGACGAACAAACACCCTTTGGTGTTGCTTCCCTTCCGGACGCTGATTGAACCCTGGAGACGCACTGCACATAAACGGCTTTTGATGGGGGTCGTCGATAAGTTAGGACTCAGCCCTGTTACTGAGTACAATATCTACTCCGCGCTGACCTACTGAACGAGCTTTATCTTCTCCTGATGTGAGAAGAACGTATCTCGCTGACAAATCTGATGCGCTCAAGTGGCTTCGAGTAGTAGGATCCTGGATCCGAGTTTCCGACACGCAGCAAATATGGACTCCTAAGGAGTCCATTGTACGAGCCAGACAAGCTTGTTGACTTAGCTGCATCAAATTCCTCACGTTGAAGGCCTCCAGATTAAGTGATTGACGAGGCTTTTGAATATGCAATCCATTCCGTAGTAAATCACTTAGGGTGCTATTTGGCAATGACCTTTGGCGAGCGACGTCCAAGTTGCTTGGGGGACTATTGCAGGTTGGAAGAAGAGGAAAATGGCGAGGGCTGGATACTGAAGATAAAGAGTTAAACAGAGGTTGGGATATCTGAGCAGTAGCCCACTTATCACTACCCACTCCGCTCGATGCAATGGGCAGCGCGGTCCTGATTATCCTGCGCGACGACCAATGTAGTTTGAAATTATTTNTTCAGTTTGTGTTCATTAGAGCTTTATGGACTAGTATTGATAGAATGTCCAGCCACTAGGCAAGAGAACGATTAGGGTTCTCTGACAAGAACCTAACCGCAAGGCAGCGGGTGAAGTGAAGTGGAGGCCCATTTACTTGAATCGATTACTCCTCCACCGTTTTTTATCGACTGAAACGCAAATTCCAATCGAACTCCCGACCTGAAGGACTAGGAACCTGAACTTCGTCTGACCTCTACCCATTGACCTTCCAGGCATGATAAGATTTCCTGGNTATTTGGCAATGACCTTTGGCGAGCGACGTCCAAGTTGCTTGGGGGACTATTGCAGGTTGGAAGAAGAGGAAAATGGCGAGGGCTGGATACTGAAGATAAAGAGTTAAACAGAGGTTGGGATATCTGAGCAGTAGCCCACTTATCACTACCCACTCCGCTCGATGCAATGGGCAGCGCGGTCCTGATTATCCTGCGCGACGACCAATGTAGTTTGAAATTATTTTCAGTTTGTGTTCATTAGAGCTTTATGGACTAGTATTGATAGAATGTCCAGCCACTAGGCAAGAGAACGATTAGGGTTCTCTGACAAGAACCTAACCGCAAGGCAGCGGGTGAAGTGAAGTGGAGGCCCATTTACTTGAATCGATTACTCCTCCACCGTTTTTTATCGACTGAAACGCAAATTCCAATCGAACTCCCGACCTGAAGGACTAGGAACCTGAACTTCGTCTGACCTCTACCCATTGACCTTCCAGGCATGATAAGATTTCCTGGCTTTATAAAGCCATCCTATGTAGCTCGTTGGGTCACAGAGGTGCACAAGCCATCACACCACGTCAAGGTGCACTCTCATCGTATGTGTGAATTTCCGAGGAGGCTTCTGATCTTTTCTTACTGACACACGTTCCCATTGTAGTCTTATATTGTCCGTCCTCAGTCGTAAGCTGCATCCAAAACCTAAATGGATGAGCTTTTGTTTATTCTCAAGTTTTTCCTTGACGTTTGCGTTCTGTAACTGCACTTGTTGAGGTTCCGGTTTCAGTTTATACCCCTCCGTTTCAGTTTTCTGTCTTTCTGTCATCCATTCGGTCCGTCAATGAAAGGAAGAAGTGAAACACGAGGAAAATCGGAGATTTATGTCAAGACACCTTTCAGACAACCGGTGGTGTTAGCGCATCAGTTTAATCGTTCTCCTCGGTGTGCTCTGTACCCCGTGGTTCGAGGTTCAAGTCCGACCACCACCTAACCTTTGAGGGCTAGACAACTTTGCTGTTATCCGGTTCTATACCACTCCTAACCTAACCTAGCCTTACATATGATTCTCCACTCCAATTCCAAGGGCATAAAGTTTACCTGTTCCTATGGCTGAACAGCAGGTCTCTGTGACTATGGGGTTTATCCCGTCTACTGTTCATCACAAAAAATGTCATAAAAAAATTCAATTTCCAAAACAGTTTGGGCGTACAGCACTACGGGCCGAATAATGCCAAATCAGGCATGTGGCTGAGTTACGGCCGAAAGCAAAACACTCTGTCCAGTTGAACATCATACTTACCATTTGCAATTTTTCTCATGTAAGCTACTACAACCGATCGATAACGCAGCTTCACCTGCATCCGATAAACTGTGCTAACATTCACAGTGGTTGGCCACGATGCGAATGTCTAGTGCTGATGAACCGTAGGTGTAACTAAATGGTCATAAAGATGAACCGAATGTCTTCTAACATGAGCTGTCTGTCGGTCAACGTCTGTCTGGGAACAGACGATCGTGCCACACTACGGACATGATACCACGTTTCTTGGTTTCATTGTCACCTTTCCATCATTTAAATGAATTTCAAACCTTTTTTGCCTGGGTTTTTGTATGGTTTTGCCGTCTGGGAACTGAATAACCTTATTGTGTCTGACTCCGAGGAGAATGTAAGTCGGTTTCAAGGATATATCGAATCGCAGTTGCCCACGGCAAGATCTGCGTAGATTGTGATCTAACTGGACTTCCATTGGCGATTGCCGTAAGCGGAGCGGAGATAGGTTTTCTGCATCCTGGCGTACCGTGTCTAGCCAGATTTTTAGCTGTCCACTGTGTCGATAGCGTCGGTTTCGGCAAGGAGACAGTGGTCGATTAGTTATGCAGTGCCATGGCTCCATCGTTGCATATCGTCTAGTCCCTTTCACCCTTGGCCTCAAACAAGTAAATTCCCTCTCCTCGATCTGATTGGATTATCCTCGGTGATTTGCACATCTTAGAATTCCTCAAACTGACACGAGAATGTCTGATCACCAATCATCGTAATGTTTGTGATGTTCTTATCGTCACTGGTACTCACGTTCTTTACATTCCAATACAGTACTCTATCTCATTTGTTTATTGCGTAAATCATAACGAATTACATAAGTAGAATGAACTTAACGTAACGTGCTTTCAAGTTGCGTTTTTTCCTGAAGTCAGAGTCGTACGCTTAGAGCAATATCCTCTCCCTTTTATCGATTTCGTCAACACAAGAAGACCGGTTGACCGAATTCCTATTGGCCATCTATTTCACATGCTCTCTTTTCAGCTTTGCCCGCACAGCTATGCCAATTTCAAGTTGATATCAGTCATTGGAACGGTCACGTACCAGTAGACGCACCAAAAGCGTTTCTAAATCTTTACGAGACCTCGACGATCATGGATGGGGAAATTTTTAAAAGCGATAATCATTTGAGCGCTTTAAACCGCAACTGTACCCTCAAAACCATTTGTAACGCAACTGTTGTTGCCATGGTGGGGATTACATCACACTTGGTGCCACCTTACCACAATATGTGGCATGAACTTCCCCCTCTACCACATTAGTCACGTGGTTTGAACCGGTTCACTTTCGCAATCTAGCATCATCACATTTTATCACCTACCTTGACCTTAACCTCTAACCAGACCCAAATCATGCAACTCACTCGTCCACTACCTTGCCACGATGATTCATTTCAACTCCGACGTGTTCCTTTGTTTGAGATGATTGTATAAATGTGCGTTTACAGCCTAATGCGAACAGGTGAAGTTGAAGGACAATATCAGTTTCTAGTTTCTGACCGATTCTTAACACTGGCGGCTAGTGTTGAGATGCGCGAGGTGTGATTACCTGCAATACACACTCGCAAAGACTGTGTATATTCATAATGGAAAAAAAGAACTGTCCCATCCGCTTCCGGTTGGCCAACTAGGCAGTATGCATGCGTTCTACTTTTCGTAGAACCACCATTTCTATTTTCCTTGATCTAAAAGCGGCTTTCGACTCAGTCGACCGCTCTAAACTCTGGCGCTGCCTTTCCCTGAAGGGAGTGCCCCAGAAGTTTATTTCAATATTACAATCCCTCTACAATAATAGCCGAAGCCGAGTTCGAGCTTACGGCACTTTTTCTCCCGAGTTCACCACGGAAAATGGTGTTCGACAGGGTTGCCCTCTCTCTCCTTTTCTATTTAACTTTGTCATAGATTTAATTATTGAAACAGCCCTATCCTCGTGCAGGGGTAGTGGTATCGATTTACTTCCGG